CAAAATGTCTTCTGTGGACACTTCAATATTTTGAAGTGAAAACACTGTATTCATACTATGGAATTGAGTGAAATTTCATAAGGGATGTTGTAGATATGTGTGTCCTGTATGTAACTTACTGACAGGACATAATATGATGTCACAAGATGAGAAGATGGTGCGTGTGAACAGAAAGAAAACAAGAGTAACCAAATGGGAGAAGAGGTAAACCTCCCATCACCACTCTTTCCACACCCTGCAGATCCTCTTCTTTTAAATTAGGAACAATTAAATAATGTGACTTGGCATAGATGAGTCTGTAAAATGACAAGTGTACAGGTTACATGATCGCGGAAATAGGCGTTTGATTACTACCTGGAACAAACTTTATTCTTTTCTCTACCACATCCAGGCCATGTCTACAGCCCACCCAGGCTCCTATCCAATGGACACTAGGAGTACTTTCCTTAGGGAAAAGCAGCTGAGGCCTAAAACTGGCCACGCACTTCCATCTAGTGTGAGATGAAGAATGCCTGGAGCCATAACTCCACTGCTCCATACATCTTCTTGGCATGGTGCTTAATTAAGCTAAGTAAATCTTTACTTCAATTAAGTAATTAACTGGTTTTGCTACCTTAATTAAAGTAAAATATAATTTGGCCTGAACTTCATGATGTTAATGCATTTTAATTCAGCACTTCTTCATTTCTTATCTAAATTAATTTCATTTCACTTCAAAGAAACACATAATAAGTCAGAAATTTTTTAAGAAATGACAAATGGAGCAGTTACCACATTCTTATGTGACATTACTGCAATTTAAAATATGTAATATACTGATTTTATTACTCATTTTTAATGAAATAAAGATTGTGGAAATAGTTCTTACCTCAATTATAAATTTCAGCTAAGAATGAAACATAAATTTCAGTGTTACTGATACTTGAAAGAGAGAAAAGTTTAAAGATATAAATGTTTCAGAGTGCAACACAGACTGAGCAATCTTAAATGACACATAATTAAAGCCACAGTCGAAGGTTATTTCAGATTATAGCCAGAGGGAAACATTTAGTGTCCTGTTCAGGAATTATTATAAAATTGGTAAGACATAAATCTTTACAATATTATATTTCAGCATCCTGTTACACTCACACAATATATATGGACAAATACCGTCTTAAGTGCAACAATTTTATTGTAGTTTTTTCTTCTTTTTCCTCCTCCACACTACATGTTTCGGCCCTAAATGGCCATCATCAGGTGTGTATCACTCACGTAACTGTTACACTGCTTGTTAAAAATGTAAAAATCTCAGTCTTTCTAATTATATAAAATCTTTGTTAATCTACACGCGTCGATTTGATTTTTAAATTAGCACTTTTTAAACCTTAATTCAAGTTAAAATGTCTATAAGATCTTTGTTCTCTTTCTTTTTCAAATTAAAATTTTTCAGGGTACATGCCCTATATCTACGGTGCTGCAGCGGCCACTTCTTGTTTTTATCGCTGTTCATGTGTTGTCTGTAATATACAAATATTTGTGTTACTATCTTATGTTATGTCTTGTTATGTTATTCTTATATGTTTATACTGTTATTTGTACTTACTCAGTGTAGGCGCTCTCTGTGTGTGTCGCTGCTTATCTTTAATACGTGTGCTGTCTGGTGTATTGTGTGCTGTGTTTCATGTTGGTGGGTGTTGGAGGGGGAATGGGTAGTGTAGTGG